ATGTCAGCTAGGCATGCTCAGTAATAATCCGGGAGACTTACGGGCAGGGTCGGGTCGATCTTGTGCAGCCTTGTCTCCTCGCTATCATTATCGCCGTCCTTCTGCTCCTCAGCTGCTAGCTTGTTGGCAATGGTACGCTCGTCCTCTATTGATTCCGTTAGCAGTAAGATGGACCATGCGGACGACAGAAACGTACTGGAGTCAAGCTGGTTGTGCGCGTGCTCATTGCCCTCATGGAAGCGCTCAGGCTGCTCCTGCTCGCTCTCAGGGACGTTCCTCTGATCTCCGGCATGGGCGACGTTCATATTGACGGTCTATGATTTTTTTCCCTGGGGAAATGATTGGAAGGGGGTATTGATGGTGATTTTAAGAGATCAGTGAGGTTGTAATGATGATGTGAGAAGGTGCTCGGTGGTTGTCTTGATGTCTTATAAAGACTCGAGATCTCTGAGATCGCGATCTTCCCCACTAGTTACTTCACTCTACGTCATCTACGGATTTGCTCCACGACAGAGACCAAAAGTCAGTGAATCGACGAAACAGCGTCTCAATTGGGCAGCTACAGTTCTGGAACGCCTTTGGCACTCGTTCCTTCCCAAGGCATCACAAGCCTAGGTGCGCATGTACGTCATCGATTGCTCATAATGGAGACTCCTCCATCAAACGTGAGCACTGAGCAGTAGCTGTGGCGCTACAACGACGCACAGTTACTACGCAACATAGCTTACTACCGGTGACGGAGCTTGAGTAATGCAGAGTTCGTTGCTTCAAGAACTGTCCCATTTCTTTCCTGTGTTCAGGACCTAGCTCGCAGACCGAATTTCTGAAACTGATAATTAGCTGCTTACCCTCTACTGCCGCAGTAAATATCTCGTAAGGCTGGTCCCTTCGGAGCTCGACGGTGGGGCCACTTCCACGATGAAATAGTGGTGGCCCGCCATGAGGATCGAAATAGTCTTCAAATGTCTCCTATCGAACTCGAACTTGAGAAATAACCCATCGTACTGTACCGAATCACTGGTGTTTCTTCTCGTTTGGTCGGGTTGCGCAATGATCACATCAAACTCAGCGATCATTGGGACCTTCTAGCGCCAGCACCCCCCCCTACAGCTAAGCGACATTTGCCGCGGTGACAGGGATCATGATGTAATCCTCGTGGAGCTCCGAGCTCCACTACCGACGACGCAAGAATCACTGTCACTTGTCGTCGACATTCCGAGTTTCGATTACCTTCCCTCGCATCGTCAACACCGCCAACATGTTCCGTTCGTGGGTGCAAACACCATCATGTACCCCATAATGTATGCGCTAACCCCTCTCACAGCATAAGACCCTCGACATCATCACCCTCTTCCACAAGGCCGGCGCGCCAGCCTCGCAGAGGGTTGCAACAATCCTCAAGCAAGCTTCCGCCAACGCCACGGCCGGCGCGACTGAGGACCAGGCCAGCGACCACACTGCTCAGACTCATCCCAAGCGTACCGAGTTCGAGCTCAACATCACCGAGGATCTTCCCACTGCCGATCAGGTCAAGACCATTCTCGAATATGTTGGCCCCAGCAAGGTGTCCAGCATCATTAGCGGTGCTGCGAACGAGAGCGAAGCCCTGAAGAAATTTAAGCTGGACAGCAGCACCTTCCAGAGGCCTGTGGTAAGTTTTCTTGAATGATCCTAGCGATACGAACTACGATTGACTCTTGCAGGTTGTGGATTGGAACAACGGCCGCGCCACCGCCGACAGCAATGAGTCCGCGATCCTCAAACTGGTGAACGCGCTCAACAAGGGCAACTAGAACCGCTTCATTGATATACCCTCTCGCTCTTTGTACCATATGAACTTGTCCACTCATCAACGACACGCTGTAATACAAAGCCACTGAGCCTCGTGCTGTCTGACCCTCAAATCATACGTTTGGCATAATTGACTCATGACACTCTGCCTTTGACAATAATTAGTTCGCTTCTATTCTCCAATGGTCGAACATCCATAGCCCGGTTTTGTGCAAGATTAAAACACTAAGCACCGTACTGATTCGGTACATTGTTGTCGCGTTGGAACGCGTACTTGCTACGCGGGTACATCTGTGGCTGTATTTCGTCCCGGTCCATCCCTATTTGCCTCGTTTCATGTTGAAATGAAGAGTCAAGAGAGGCAAGATTACACTAGGGAGGGACCTAGAGGATCCCTGAGCTTGTTGTCATGCACAATGAGCCAACTTTGTTCCTCGTCCAGGTACGCTGCAGTCTCGCACTGGGCAATTCACAATCAGATGCACGCATAAGTAGTTTCCCTGTCGACCAAAGGGCCTGTTCTTCCGTGTTCACTTGGTTTCGTGACGACTCCATATGCATTGAGTGATCTCGACTGGCTGAATGTCAGTGAATTGAGGATGGACTGTGTGTTCAATTGCAGGAGCAGTGAATCTCTGCGCAAAAGTGGTGCAGACATTTCGCTCTTCTGCCTGATAGTTGTAGTTACGCACCTTCCAGCCGAATCTTTTCATTCACCTACCAGACCACTACTGTCTCTCCATGAAAGAACCCCGCCGCTTTCTGCCGTGAGTTGGATTTGGAGCTGCCCATAACTTGAATCTTCTCCTCCTTCCTCTCAAGCATCCTCAACTTCAGAACCGCAACTCAGTTCTCGCGGTAACCTTACTTCCCCTCATCGCAAAACGATAGAGCATTATACTTCTTCTTCCGAGACGTGCTACTTGCTACTACACTATTCTCATCGCCTATACTCCTTCCTACCTCTGGATCTCAGTGTCTCTGAGCACCAGCCGTCGTCATCACAACACAGCCACGTATAGCGGTCCCTCGCCGTAAGCTACCACATCTTTTGGGACAGCAAGACGTACTTGCAAGCCAAGAACTTATTCCTGTGTCGCAGGTGAGTCGCGCACTTTTCTCAACTGGAATCCTGGTTTTGGAGTCTTTTTGGCGTACCTCTCTGATGTAGCTCCTTCCTTCCGTTTCAACACTTGATACAAACTCATGTCGCTCAAGGAAGAGAAGAATCGACTTTTCTCGTGGATCATGTTGTTTTCTCGATTTAAATAGCTGAAAGTCTGCCACTTTTATCGGCTGTTTGTTCGTCTAGCTGCGTGCTTTCCTCACATCTCTTTTTTTCAACTGTCGAAGTTTGGCACGATAACACTTTTTCCTGACCACTTGCTCTAGTCCATCTCCATCATGACCGGTGAATCCATGATCTATGGCAAAAAGCTTGGGTGTCTCCTCAGGCCGATGGCCAGGAGACCAGAACCGGCTGCGCCGACTGGGCTACCGCCTACCCAAGCGGATCCCACTGAACTACAACATGGCGCATCACGCCGCGAGGAGAACCCCAGGTC